GGCTGCTTTTACTCTGTCTCTGATTACCTGGGGTATTTTAAAAATCGCTCCTAAGTCTCAACATACAAGCAACATACTCATCTGACTACCGTAAATATGCTATATCATGTTGTTCTTTCATGTTTTTAATGTTAATCTTTATGTTGCTCTACTTTTTATCTTAAATTATATTTTATACTCATCCGATCTGAAATTACTTTTGCTGTGCGTAAGCATATGTAACAAATTTGTCATGACTTGCTACAAACATGTAAAGTGTAATGTGGTTAAATGAACTTCTATTCTATTCTATTCTAATCTACACATACTCTCCATTGCTTCAGTGTCATGTTATTGATTCAATAAAATTCCTGAAAAACACAAACTCAATGGGAATCGACTGCATTTCCACAAAAGTAATGAAAAGTACAATCAAACACATTGCCAAACCACTAGCTTTAATCACAAATATCTCTATTTAGAATGGATAATTCCCGGAATATTCAAAAGTAGGTCTACTGAGTCCCATTTAAAAAATAGATTTACCACTTCCATGGATGATTTTTGGTCAGTAACAGTTTCAACTGTAATAGGTGAGGTATTTAAAAGGTGTGAGTATGTCAAAATAAATTCGTTTCAGAGTTAATCTGAAGTACTGTCAAAATATCAACGTGGGTTATGTCCTGGCAAGTCGACTGAAAGTCCATCAAGAAAGTTCACAATTCATTTGATAAAAAAAAATATGTCAGAGCACTTATCAAGGCCATTCGATATAATTGGCCCAAATATCACTGGTAGTAAATTGTTCTTTTTGGGATTTTAGGCAAATTTCCTGTTGTGGTTAGTAGTCCATCTGACCTTTATGCTATGAAAGTGTTAATAGTATGGACCTGGGAGTTCTTCGGGGATCTATACGGGGACCACTGCTATTCTTACATTTTATAAATGATCTTCCTCTTTACGCGTGTAGAGACTTTGCAGTTATTCATGCCGATGATATAACTTTGGCATTAAACGCTCATACCCCTAATGAGGAACTCCAAAGTAAGTTGAGTATGTTATCGCAGAATTCACGGAATGGTGCAAGAAAAATCATTCGGTCCTAAACTTTAAAAAAGCAGGAAGCATTCCAAGTAAACCTTTCACGAAGTTAAAATTTTTTTGAAACATATTTAGATGGTGGCATAGGTTGGAATACAAATATAAATTCTGTTTGTAAGAAAATAAACAGTGGCTATTATGCTATTATGCTATTATGATAATCGAATGCGATACAGTTTCCAAAGTTGAATCATGTGAAAACAGGTCTAGAAAGTTCTTCGTAAAAAATCTTTTCCTCTCCGTAGTTTTTTTTAACAATCGTCGTTATATAAAGGATATTTATCTCAAATAGTTGTCCGTGAATATATATGTTACGGAAAAGGTGTTAGTTCCATTATTTTTTATCATATTTATTATTTTCACCAATTATTATTTGAATGAAAGGTAGCATTAAAACCTCTGGGAATAACAAACACTACTTCCAAATATTCCTCACGAAAGTGTTTCACAAAACAAGTAGGGTTCGTCAAGTGAAGAACTATATACAGTCTAAATTTAACTTTGGTAGATATACCTAAAAGTATGTTTTATTCGCATTAACCTTATTTCAGAATCATCATGCCTGTTATAAGTTATTCGCTCTCTGTAATCGTCCAAAATTCAAAATACAATGAGCAGAGATCGCCAATATCTTTTGGCGGGAAATGATCAATCTGGAATATTATGAGTACAATGGCAACAAAAAAACACAACTATTGTTCCACTGATTTTGAAAGGTGACAGGAGATGATGACATGTTATATGTTATCGTTTTCTGTTTTTTAATTTTCCTACTACTCATAACAGGAAACTCAGCATTTTTGTAGATTTACAAAGTAAAAAACACGTTGAGAAAAATTATAGTTCGCTTCGTACAGAAGGAAAGGAATTAAAACGGCAATTTTTTTAAAGACTTCAAATAATTTTTATCTAGCATTGGGTCAGTTGACAATTCTGGTGACGTTTTGGAACGCCAAAAGATAACGTGTAAAACTTTCGTTCGAAGTTTTCCAATTTTGTTCAATGCAAGTACCTCTAGATGATACCAATTCGAGCAAAAAATGAATAGAATTAATTTCTTAATTTTGTTTANGCCCAAATGGAAATAACGCCGGCCGCCACTGGTAACCATAAACCGAACATGACATAGCTAAGAGCGTGGGAACGCCCAATGTTCTACGATGTTTGATGGCGATATTTAAACGTTGGCTGCGGGTATATCTGGACAGTCAAGTCAAGTGAAAGATACAGTGTGGTACGCGAAGTGATCTAGTAAGGCGATAGATAATAATAGTTAAATTTTTAGTTGAAGTGTTTGTTGTATTTAAAGTGGAATAAAGTTAAGTTTGATTATTCAGTATAGTCAATTATTGGTGAACCTACTGGGTAGAAAACGTAACAGTGTGTTTTGTGTCTTATACATCTTTCATTACCATTTCATATCATCTACTAACCCAAGTAAACAAAGTCAACAACAACAGAAAATACACTATATTCGATATGAGTAATGATGAATGAAATTACAAGGCATACCTTGGAACAGTACAAGTTGAGTAAAATATGTTACAAATACACTCCAAAACATCAACCATCAGTACAAACTTTACTGAAATTGTGTACGACAAGCGTCTGGCATTGAGAGATGGTCTTATTAAGTCTAAATGTCATATCATCTGATGAATAAGCATAAACTTTTACCATAAATGGTTCGTGATTATCAATAATGGATGTTGTTTTATTCATGAATATTTCCCACATCTTTTTTTGTATCAAGATGGAGTAGTAGAAAGCCAAAAACTTTCTTTCCCAAAAATGATATTCCTGATTATGTATACAGTATTGATACTCATTTTTTCAAAATTTATTTTTAATTTGCTTTATTCGTACTTGGTAGTAATGTTTTAGTTTTTAATTTTTGTTTGTTCCCTAACATGTAAGTTTAGAAAATAAATCGTTATTATTATCATTTACTTGAAGAAATATAGACACTTAGGTTCTAAATAAGGTCAAAATTTAGGAACTTTTTGGATGGTAGTGTAACCTAACTTTTTCTTTCCTTCATTTGTTTGGCTGTGATGAAAATAATTTTTTTCTGTCTGATTTGAGTTATTGGACTATATTGGACAAGGCTTTCCTTTGGATAACATCAATTTTTTCCAAGTTGGTTACTCTGTTTATTTTTCATTAATGTCAGTTGATATATTGATAGTTCACGCCGTTAACTGCAGTAAATATTAAAAATACTGAATGAATAAATATAGTTTGGAAAACTAAAAAACACGCTTTTGGAGAACATCCAACTAAAGAATTGAAAATATTTTTTTTTTCAAATAAGCTTAAAACCATTAATATTTTTCGATTCCGGAGAGAGAGCCTGCAAAAAAAAGACTTTTTTCAAATGAAGAAATACATGTAAAGTGAGTTCGAATTATATCAAAGGGTTACGTACAGCGCCATCTGCCCCGTAATAGATCAAGCAATAATGTTGATAATTCTGTCAAATACAGATCCCGAGCTTGAGAGTTACAAACAAACAAACATACATACAGGTGAAGCTAATAAAAGCCGTGTTGAAAACATATTTTTTTCAAATGTTCGAGTTCGAATTATATCAAGGAAGTTACGTACAGCGCTATCTGCCTGCGAATAGATCAAGCAATAATGTCGATAATTCTGTCAAATACAGATCCTGATATGAAATGAAAAGGAGAGTTACAAACAAACATACATACACGTACAGGTGAAGCTAATATAAAGCGAGTAAAAAAAATACAATGAAAACAGCAAATAAAATAAAAAATGGGGGACACCAATATCATCTACATATGAAACTAATGACAAATACACAGAGTAACGAATATAGAAAATAATTAAGTGCTTTCGATTAATGCGTATTTTATATGATGGAATTGGCTGATACTTGATGAAAATCCATAACTAACGTATCCAAAAAAAAATTCATGACATTTTCGCTTAACAATTTTACAAAAATGCAACACGTGTTTCACCTCACAATGGCTTCTTCGGGCTTGTCTTTAATAACTAGTAAAGACACGCCTGAAGAAGCCACTGTATGGCAAAACATGTGTTGCATTTTTGTAAAACTGTTTAGTGAAAATCTCACATTGAAGTGTTGTTTGTTAATGTGTATGTTGTTATGGAAATTAAAGGACTGAGAGTATGAAAAAGAGGTTGAGATCACATACCCTGTTTTCTTTTTCAGGTAATTTCTCAGGTAGAACAGGAGCTACTTCAGCTGGAACTGGTTTCCTTGCCTTCTCCATATCTTCTGCTGTTGCGTAATCAATGACTAGTCGCTTTCCATTCCCTATGGGCCAGAAGATACCATGAAGGGCATTTCTGGTAGCCTCTGCCTCTCTAAAAAAATCCAGTCATTTTAGAATCCACACTGGTATAAGGCAACGATTTCATTTACAAAATTGATAAAAAAATTACATGTGAGTTACATCTAAAAGGGTTCAATTTCATTATGCTGACCATTTTGCAGAATATTTTGAATAGTTTTCACCAATGGTACCTATGACTTGCTTGATGTTCCAGCTCCTCAAAACTCAAATCTGACCACTTTCAATATCTCTATATCCTTAATTTTTGATAAAAAAAATACCAGTACACCCTTCTAATTCTCTATTATTGTTGTTTAGTTCTTTTTTACCATGGGTTTTTTCATTTTTAGAAAGTATTAAGCTACTGGTACTATCCCAAATTACTGGAAAATAAGTTGTATCACACCCATCACCAAGTCAAGTAGTCCATTTATCATAAATAATTACATTAGATTGTTTCAAAAGTTCTGTCTGTTTAAATGTAATGTGTTTTTGTAGCTCCATATCTCAATAAATATTCATTCTACTGTGTCTGGGTACATACTGATTGGAAGAGAATTTTATACTTTATACATTGATACTGTTAATTTTTTTCCAAATTTTAATTTTTCGCCTATTATCACCCTACTGCCCTCACATTAACTTCCTTCTTGACATCTCTAAGGGCCAAGTAATATCATATGCTGATGACACAAACCTACTCATAACGGATGAAGATAGTACTGAACTTTTAAGGACAATGACATGAAAGTATATGCTAGTGAAATGACTAAGTTGCTTAGACTAACAATTGACTATAAACTGCCTTTTTATGCAAAGCCAAAACATGTACCTCTTGGTACCAGTACATGACAACAGGTTTTTGAATGCATTCGAAAGCTTGGAAATCGAAAAGTGTGGAATGAGTTCTATGAATAGCGACAAAGGTCCTATTTCAACCAGTCGTTTTCACTTTTAAAAGAAAAGGATGCTATATGAAATTATATGTTTTATCTCGTATTTTGTTGATGACGCAAGAGCATTGTTTTATCTGTGCTTGTGCCATAAATTAACAAATTGATAATAAAAAGATGCACTCACTCTTCAGATTCATACTGAACATAACATTTTGACTTGATCCGGTCCGTCCAAAATCCATCTTCACGAATCTTCCCCGTCCTCTCTAGTAGCTCTTTCAACTGCTTAACTGTGAAAGGTCTCACCAAGTTTGTTATGTACAATATGTCAGAGCGAGAGTTTTTCGCAGGGCTCGGCGGAGGTCTCATTTTACTGATAGTGTCATCTACAATGCTAATCTTTCTATTGAGAGCTATAATATTCTGATTAGTTTCAGATTTTTGTTCTTCCGTAGTTTCCTCAGAAACCTGCCTCTTGAATTTCTCGTCCTCGGATTTTTCTGTGGAAAGTTTCCTTTTGACTGTTTCACTCTCAGATTTGGTTTGCACTCTGGGTACTGAATCTAGTTTAACCTCAGATTCTTTGAGAAACTCAAGAGATGGACACACTATTTTGATGGCGTCTACATCAATCTTGAATGTTGTAGCTGACAAATTATTCAGCGAATCACTTTTGCCCCAAAGATGCCGGCGAGTTCTCTGAGCGCTTTTGTCGCCTTGGCTGTCTCTTGGTTGGGGGACGTGTCTGAGCAATTTTACTTTTCTAATGGGTGCAATAGGTTTGTTTAGTTTCTCTAAAAGAAAATGGAACATCAGATAGATTGAATATAATTAAAAGTTAAATATATTATTACAAAGTTTTTATCTGAATGAGAAAAGGTATGTAAAAAATAAGTTCATAATGTTCACTGAAAATTACAATTAATTATATTTCCATCAAAACCAAAAAGTTAAACTTTACTTATATCTACTGATTTGCAGTTAGCAAATCTCTTCAATTATTGGGTTTCATTTCTAGAAATGCTAAAAAACTATCAGTATTGGAAAGTTATATCTAACATTGGTTTATTCGGTCATTCAATCTTTAATGAAGAACTTTTCACATATATGAATGAGCTGCAGGAAACAGCTATATTTCCATGCTGCCCTAAATTCCCATTTGAATATGTTCAAACTGATAATTCAGAAAATTAGTATTGAAATATCTATTCAATGTCATTAGTTTCCACAATCAGTGAACTGTGTTTGAGAGCATTAGTTGATATTTGAGGTGGAAATTGAATTATTTGTACAAAAAAAGGTTCAGTTGTGATAAAAACTGGACAGGATAAAAAAAGGATTGTCTACTATGATTTATTCCAATACAGGTCAGGCCCCAGGAAATTAATATTGTGATCTGTGTTAGATGTAATGATGGTTCTAATGACTCCTTCCTATCCTGTGAGAGTTGTACAGAAAAAATATTGTCTGTATGTAATGAAACAAAATGTCTAAACAAACTGTGTATGTTTTGCGAAACCAGTTGATACACAGGTATTGAATGCATTAAAAAAAAGTTTCATTAGTAATATATCATTATTAATTTGATCACAAACTTTGGTCAAGTCACAAATATCACATAAATGTAGCAGTTTCATTTTTCAAAGTTGCGTGGAATATCTGCTACTAAATTTGTTTTGCCCGATCCCTTGCAAGTTGTTGAGCTACAAGGGATCAAGATTATTCATGTATTTGAAATAACTAGATGGTCTATTGAATTTCTTAATAGATAATTATCTCTCCCAAAAACAGTCGTCCGGCTTATATATACATAATAATTTTCTAGTTTCACTTCCTTGATGGAAAATGTCACTGCCTAGGTTTCTTAACAATATTCATATTTGGCGAAAAGACCCCACTATTAGTGGAGAAATTATTACTTAAACTTCAAAAAACACAAAAAAAACCTCACCTTGTGTAGCTACCCTCTCTTCACTCTGACTACTCAATCTTCTCTTTTTCTCTACACTTTCCTCACTTGTTGAAGATTCCCTTCGTCTAATATTCTTTGAATCTTCTTCAGGTTTCTCATCAACAGAAGAATTTTTCTCGCCCCCTGCTTTTTCACCAGGTGTGAGACGTTTAAGAACAATTTTTTTTCGGGGTATATCTTTGATGTTTTCATCCTGATTAAATTTTTTTGAATCGTCGTTTTCTTGTGTGCTTTTTGGTAAAGATCTGCGAAGAATTATTCGTTTCTTTTCTCCAGTTGATTTCCTATCATTATCATCCGACTGGCTCCTAACTAGAGCATCTGATTTAGATGCGTTATGTTTTATTTCAGGAGTAGTTGATCTTTCTCCGCAACTGATCGATTCATTTATGTTGTTGCTGCTTTGAGTTCCTTCATTAGGAATTTCACTCGAAACATCACCATCTTGAACATATGCACTTTCAAAGTTTGCTTGGGTTGAACTTTCACTTCCTTGTTCGTTCACTATTTCCCTAGCAATGTTTCCATCATTTGGTTCTGGATTCTCGTGTGTATTTGCTTGCGCAGTTCCACTGGAGTTCTCTATACTTTCATCATTATCTTTAGGGGGTGACTGGATTGACCCCTGAACATTGTCATTTTCAATTTCAGGTTTGCTACTCCGTGACTGTTCAACTTTTTTGTTACTTTTACCTTTAGACTTACCTTTAATATCCTTCTCTTCTTCATTGTCACCATCCTGTTGACATTTAAGATCCTTTTCATTTTCTTCCTTATTATCACTTACTGAATTATTAATTTCATTTGAAACATTTTCTGGATCAGTTGATGTGTTCTGTACGATTTCACTTCCTTGATCAGGATTATTGCACTCAGTACTTTGTTCATTATTTTCATTTACAGGTTTACTATCAAATCTAGAAAGTCTTTTGATAGATTGTCCATTGCTGTCGCCCATGGATGAATCAAGAGGATCTTCCTTTTCACTAGCAGATTTTCTAGAATTCCTAGATCCTTTGCGACGCATCTGAAACATCAAATAACCAATAAAATTCCATTTAGTCGAGAAAAACGGTGCAATCAACCGATAGACCCAAAAAATCCCAAAGGACGCCATATTTCATTTCAGTAAAAAAGCATTATTGAATAATGAGAGCCAATAGTTGTTTTGAATAAAAATATTTTGAAAAACTTACTGTTGAGTGCAGAAATATGGTACTTTTATTACATAAAAGAAACTAGTTGGAAAACGGATTGAAAACCACTTTTATAAAGCCACAACCTAAAATATAATAATAATTCCCTTTATAACTTTGCTGATGGAATTTGACATTTGACATAATCAATTTTTCATTGATCTTCTTCTTAATTTTCGCATACTGGCCCGGGTTATTATTTAAGGAGGATTGTTCCCCAATTGCGCCTGAACAGGAAGCATCGGCCAATAAAGAAGAGAGACAGAAGAGGATTGCCAAATGTAATCATTTTCGAATGACATATGGCGGGTACTGCCATGTGATTGGTCGAATTAATTGTTCACAGATACTGAATCGTTGTAAAAAATAAACAATAAGTGATGAATATATTGGAGTTTTATTCCATCACCAAACCGTTCAAGTTTTTCAAGAGGTAGAATAAACTTGAAGCTGATCATTTGGTGATCGAATTCAAGTCAAGGTGCTAAAAATAATGGTTTCGTGTTTCGTTTACATGAAACTCCAGTAAAATTCATTACTATACTTAAGGTTCCAAATAGTCCATCAACCATGTAACGTTGCAGAATCATCTCAACTTCAACTAGATAAATTCTCTCGAGAAAAATATCTGGTTGAGGTTGGGATTGAACTTTCGACCTCCCGGTCATGATGTAAGATCTATTAACTTATTTATTTGATACTGTTGTTAATTATGCCCTAAAGAAAATAACTCCGTCCGCCACTGGTAGCCGTAAACCAATCGCTAAAAGTGCGCGAATGTACGAGGTTCGCTACCGCTCTTGTTGCTAGAATATTGCTACCAATTTTAATGGAATTTTGGCGAAATTTTCTACCGCATTCAATTACGATATATAAACGCTAGCCACGAGTATATCGACACAGAACAGTGGAAGTAACAGTGCGGTACGAGAAGTGATAGACATTCGAATAATAGTTGAAGATTTAGTTGAAGGGTTTGTTGTATTCAAAGTGAAAGAAAGTTAAGTTGATTATTCAGTACAGTCAATTATTGGTCAACCTTCAGGGAAAAACGTAACAATACGAAACTTAGAGTTAGGAATTATGCTGTTATTAAAAATGAATTGAAATGTTCAAGTGTAAATTGAAATAACAACTTTTGATAATGAGAAAATATGAACATTCAAATTATTATAATTTGATGATCATCATTGAACTAAAAAAAAACTTTGATGTTTTGGAAAATATATGAAGTGTTTTAAATTCAATTCATTGATAACTCCAAACCATTCAAAAGTGGATTATTCTTTCCACTGGATTGCACTCAACATGCAGATAAACCGCGTTGAAATCAATCAAATTCCAGGCACCTAGGTATTTGGGTCGGATCTTGCTTGCACTAATGTAAGGTAATACCTCACTAAGGTAATACCTCATCGAAACCGGTCTGTAGACGATCTACCTGAATAATTTCAGCATGGTCCTGTTGCTGCATAAACGAGAATCATCTGCAAGACTAACCTCTGTGAGATATCTTGCATAAATATCTGTCGAATATATTTGAAATTTCATTTCAAAATATTTATTTTCTAGTAACTATATGAAACTATCAAACTCACATTGAAAATAAAGCTAATACTTGGTTTCTAACAAATAATTTGAAATTAAATACCAATAAGACACAACGTCTTGAATTCTCAACTGTAGGACCCTCAAATTATAGCGTGAAATTGCTTGGCATAACATTTGACAATACTTTATCCTGGCATCAACATACAAATCAGCTTAGGAGCAAGTTATCCAGCACTATTTATGTTCTACGACAACTTCAAAATATTACCAGCTTCGATATATTGAAAATTACTTATTATTCGCTTTTTCATTCTCACATTGGTTATGGGATTGTTCTTTGGGAAAACTCACCTGGTTCTCTCAATATCTTTAGGTTACAAAAGCGAGCCATTCGAATATTGGCAGATATAGGTTTTCGGGAACCGTGTCAGGTATCATGCCTGTACCAACGTTATTTATTTTTCATGTTATGCTAGAAATCCACAGAATTGCGAGTACCTTACCGAAACGTTCAAATATTCATCAGTACCGTACGAGAAACGCTGACAAGATCTGTACAAATCGATATCGCCTAGCTAAATCACAAAAAATTCTTTGGATTACAACTCATATAACTGTTTACCATTCAAGCTGAAAGATGTTAGTATGAATAAATTCAAACAATCCATCAAACAACTACTATTGACTGCATTTCCACAAAAGTAATGAAAAGTACAATCAAACACATTGCCAAACCACTAGCTTTAATCACAAATATCTCTATTTAGAATGGATAATTCCCGGAATATTCAAAAGTAGGTCTACTGAGTCCCATTTAAAAAATAGATTTACCACTTCCATGGATGATTTTTGGTCAGTAACAGTTTCAACTGTAATAGGTGAGGTATTTAAAAGGTGTGAGTATGTCAAAATAAATTCGTTTCAGAGTTAATCTGAAGTACTGTCAAAATATCAACGTGGGTTATGTCCTGGCAAGTCGACTGAAAGTCCATCAAGAAAATTCACAATTCATTTGATAAAAAAAAATATGTCAGAGCACTTATCAAGGCCATTCGATATAATTGGCCCAAATATCACTGGTAGTAAATTGTTCTTTTTGGGATTTTAGGCAAATTTCCTGTTGTGGTTAGTAGTCCATCTGACCTTTATGCTATGAAAGTGTTAATAGTATGGACCTGGGAGTTCTTCGGGGATCTATACGGGGACCACTGCTATTCTTACATTTTATAAATGATCTTCCTCTTTACGCGTGTAGAGACTTTGCAGTTATTCATGCCGATGATATAACTTTGGCATTAAACGCTCATACCCCTAATGAGGAACTCCAAAGTAAGTTGAGTATGTTATCGCAGAATTCACGGAATGGTGCAAGAAAAATCATTCGGTCCTAAACTTTAAAAAAGCAGGAAGCATTCCAAGTAAACCTTTCACGAAGTTAAAATTTTTTTGAAACATATTTAGATGGTGGCATAGGTTGGAATACAAATATAAATTCTGTTTGTAAGAAAATAAACAGTGGCTATTATGCTATTATGCTATTATGATAATCGAATGCGATACAGTTTCCAAAGTTGAATCATGTGAAAACAGGTCTAGAAAGTTCTTCGTAAAAAATCTTTTCCTCTCCGTAGTTTTTTTTAACAATCGTCGTTATATAAAGGATATTTATCTCAAATAGTTGTCCGTGAATATATATGTTACGGAAAAGGTGTTAGTTCCATTATTTTTTATCATATTTATTATTTTCACCAATTATTATTTGAATGAAAGGTAGCATTAAAACCTCTGGGAATAACAAACACTACTTCCAAATATTCCTCACGAAAGTGTTTCACAAAACAAGTAGGGTTCGTCAAGTGAAGAACTATATACAGTCTAAATTTAACTTTGGTAGATATACCTAAAAGTATGTTTTATTCGCATCAACCTTATTTCAGAATCATCATGCCTGTTATAAGTTATTCGCTCTCTGTAGTCGTCCAAAATTCAAAATACAATGAGCAGAGATCGCCAATATCTTTTGGCGGGAAATGATCAATCTGGAATATTATGAGTACAATGGCAACAAAAAAACACAACTATTGTTCCACTGATTTTGAAAGGTGACAGGAGATGATGACATGTTATATGTTATCGTTTTCTGTTTTTTAATTTTCCTACTACTCATAACAGGAAACTCAGCATTTTTGTAGATTTACAAAGTAAAAAACACGTTGAGAAAAATTATAGTTCGCTTCGTACAGAAGGAAAGGAATTAAAACGGCAATTTTTTTAAAGACTTCAAATAATTTTTATCTAGCATTGGGTCAGTTGACAATTCTGGTGACGTTTTGGAACGCCAAAAGATAACGTGTAAAACTTTCGTTCGAAGTTTTCCAATTTTGTTCAATGCAAGTACCTCTAGATGATACCAATTCGAGCAAAAAATGAATAGAATTAATTTCTTAATTTTGTTTAATTTTATTTGTGTTGATTCCTTTTACCTGCCTGGGTTAGCTCCTGTTAATTTTTGCAAAAAGTCCGATGAATCAGATACTTGCAAAGTGAGTCCACAATTAATATCTAGTTACCAATATTAGTAAAACTTTTTTTCAGTCCGAAGTCCAGCTATTCGTCAATAGACTGAACACAGAAGAATCTGTTATACCTTATGAGTACAACCACTTCGATTTCTGTTTAGCCGATGAAACGGCAAAATCACCTGTAGAAAATTTGGGACAGGTAGTATTTGGAGAACGAATCCGACCTTCTCCTTACAAAATTCAGTTCATGAAAAATGAAACATGTAAAATTGTTTGCCGTAAAACCTATTCTGGTGATAACGCTAAGGATAACTTGTTGTTGAGTAAGCTAAGGAAGGGTATTAGCTTGAATTATCAACATCACTGGATTGTTGACAACATGCCAGTAACCACTTGTGTCTCCTCAGAACACAACTCACAGTACTGTTCTACTGGTTTTCAAATGGGTTGTTACTCAAGAAATGGGAAACACAATTGTGGCAAACTAGAGGGCCAATCAATTACTCAGCAAGAAGCTTACTACATCCATAATCATGTAGATTTGTTCATCACTTATCATTCTGGCGCTAAAGAAGAATGGGGAAACAAGTTGAATTATAAGGGTGGCAGAATTATAGCTGTCAAAGCCAAAGCTAAAAGCATCGATTACAAAGGGTAAATATCTCTGTTGAAAGAAAGGAAACATGATTGTATATTCTGGAAAAATGAACATTAATGAATAAAAATTACGATATATAAAAGACACTCTCATCATTGAGAAATACATGTTCACGTGTTCTTCAAAAAATTGCCAATATCTTTTGTAGATTTCTATTTCTTCAATATATTCAAATTTATCAAAATTATTGAAATTTATACAAACTATGGCTGCATAACGCAATAAATTTAAATGTATCCTATTTAAGTTGCTTTCTATTATTTCATCCATTATTTGTTTATTCATTATACTACAAATTATGAGAAATGAAACTTTCAATGTTTTTTTCAACTTGTTTATTCGTAATTAATGTTGGTACTGCAGTTTCGTCTATAAGGACATTTTCAAAGAATTACAATACGAGTGATCTGGCTGAAAGAAGAGCACCAAACACTGTTCTTAACATTATCTGAAGGTACTGCACTTTGAATTTACTTAACTCTATCAGATATATGATGGAATCGGCCGATACTTAATGAAAATCCATAACTAACGTTATGGATTACGTATGGATACGTTAACTCTATCAGATAGAATTTGACATTTTTTATTAAGTTAGGTGTAGAATTAGTAGTTTTATATCCCAAAAGTACCATACTCAACTTAAGAAACTTAGGGCACTAACACAGAAACAAAAACATATTATCATACATAACGAATCAGTCAAACCAGATATCCAATTCAGCAAAAGAATCAATAGTTTTACCAAACAACATTAGTTACGAGTAAAAGTGGTAAAAAAAACATAGAAAGTTAAATTTTTCATGATGTTACCATGTAGTTATGGCTACATCCATCAGTTTATCAAAATATGTTGATTTTTAAATTCAGCACTAGTCTATCTCTATGTTGTCCTAATTACTGTAAGTAAAATATATGAACTCTGAAAATTTGTAAAAACTTCCAGTTTTGCTTTCTCGAAGTACCTTTGAAAGTTTTTTGATTTATATATCAAATTCATCTTAATCTTCCTCTTGAAGATGATCACTTGGTGATTGAAACACGTGGCGAGGTGTTAAAAATGACAATTTGGTGTTGTAAAGAAAACTCCGGTAATATTCATCTCAAAACATGTTCAATAATCCTATTGTCATTTGTTGGAATAGAGCGTTTAAGAAAAACTACCGGAAAACTCAATTAAACAAGGTTTTGTTCTCATTTGATGATTCTTAAGCAATTTCAATATTTCCTAGAATGATATTCATTCAAATTTTTAATAATGTTTTCATAATTTGAAAAGATGAACATTATTCTCCGTTAGATTCTCCTTCTAGTCTCTATGCGTCATATTTCTCTTTTAAGGTAAAGTTAATTTGGGACTTTGTGGAATCCTTATGTAAATATATTATGTTGGCGGTTCCTAAAGCAAATCATCTTAGAATAACATATGGTGTTTGATAAAGATCTGAGAGGTCTTTGAATAAATGAAAATGTGTTACTTTTTGGTAGAATAATATACTGGGTGGTGTAATCACACTGTTACACTTGAAGGTTATGTTACAATTTCCTTTTTAGATCTGAATGTCGTCCGGATGCTTCTGAAATGTTGAGTTTGCCAATAAAGAAGCTTGAAAAAGGCTCATCCTTTGAAATACTTTATACCTATTCCGTTACATTTATCGAAAACAATGATGTGAAATGGTCTTCACGTTGGGATTATATTTTAGAATCAATGCCTCACACTAATATCCAGTGGTTCAGCATTTTGAACTCTTTGGTCATTGTACTATTTCTCTCAGGCATGGTAGCCATGATTTTGCTCAGGACCTTGCACAAAGATATAGCAAGATATAACCAGATTGACAACGGAGAAGATGCTCAGGTCAGTAAATATTTTTACTTTTAAACATATAGATCGATTAAAAAAAACATTGATAACTTTTATATCCAACTAAATTATATTGTATTATAGTAGAATGACAATATAAGTTTCATTTCAGGAAGAGTTTGGTTGGAAACTGGTCCACGGAGATGTATTCAGACCTCCACGTAAAGGCATGTTGTTGTCAGTTCTTCTCGGTTCCGGTGTCCAAGTATTTTGTATGACACTTGTAACGTTAGTCTTTGCTTGTTTGGGATTTCTCAGTCCAGCAAACCGTGGTGCTCTTATGACGAACGCCATGATGTTATATGTTATGATGGGATCACCTGCCGGTTATGTCTCTGCTAGAATTTACAAAAGTTTTGGAGGTGAAAAATGGAAGTCAAACATTCTACTGACATCTATGCTAGCACCAGGGTGAGTATTTCATTGCCTCACATGAAGAACCTGTCAGTAAATTATATGTTTATTGGCTTTATGCTATTATAGGTGAAAATCAATTGTACTTGAAAATAAAATTGAAGTGTTTTCTATTTTTGAAAGCTACTTATTTCACTTCTATGAACTGTTTAATAAGAAATTGAGAAAATGTTTCAACAAACTATAATATTATCAGTTTGATAAGCCTTGTTTTAACTGATTACCCAGAACAATTCTTGTCAGATTTTTTATTACCACTGAATTTGGCTTATTGAATTCTGAGAATGAGATACAAATTATTTAATTTGTTCTAATTCTACTATTTTTGTACTGATATGATTGAACGGTTCTAGTTAAATATTTGCTTACTGAGAATTTGCCTAATGCAGATACAGGGTATTTTCAAATTATCTTTAAAATGTGTGCCTCAAAAAGTTATTTTTCGTAAGAGCTTGTCAGACAATTAATTAAAAAGTTGACATTCACTTCACGTCACGATATGGTTGTTGATATGGCAACTTCAAAACATGCAAGAATTGGATTTGAACACTCCCAGGCGTACTTTAAAGAATGCAAAATAGGATATCAATACAAAATTTATATATTGGAATATTTTGTATAAAGATATGAAGTTGGAAAAAAAGGATAATTGTTGTAATGAACTGTTTTCATGTTAACCTTCAAAAACAACATTCATGTGTATAATTTTATTTTTGCAGTACACATTGTCTGAGTTTTAATATTATTCTTGCCATGATGCCTTATGTCTTCTTTTATGTAGTAAATAATAAGATTGCTACGTATATTTCAGTATTGTCTTCGGCTTATTCTTCATCATGAACCTTGTTTTGTGGGCAAAGGAGAGTTCAGCAGCTGTTCCTTTCAGTACTTTGTTGATTCTTCTTGCTTTGTGGCTGTTGGTGTCAGTACCAATGAATTTTGGAGGTGCCTTTTTTGGATTCAGACAGCGGGTAAGTCGACTTGAATCTCTATGGGTTAGGTATTAAAAATATTTCAGCATTCACCTCAAAATGTAATACTTGGAGGCAGGTCTAAAATGAATATTAACATCAATTACAAACATTTTTGGGGTGATAACCACGTTCAGTAGGTAGAATTATTACCACCAGCGTGAAATGAATCTAATGAGAATACGTGGCAGAACACCAGAACTCTTGACACATGTTTCACTAATCAGATGATAACAGTTGTGGGTTACAATTAACATTAAAAAAATATATTTCTTGGTTCCTGCTTCTTGAATTGGTCATGAATAGTAGAGAAGGCATCTGAAATTAAATCAAAAAATCTTATAATTAATAGTATCATAGTATAATTTAAATAAACATATATTTGGTAAAAATTCAAACTTGAAGTGAACCTAAAACAAAACTGCTGATTGGTTATCCAAATGTCATGTTGAATCACAGTTGGTTGAACAAAAATCATTGGAATAGTTAAATTGCCTATTTTTCTCTAATGTTTTGAACTTTGTCTATTTTATCCTTGAAGTGAGGTTGAAAGAATAATAAAATGTATGAACATGATAACAAGGTATCGTACAGATGAAATGAAAAAAAGAAACAAACCACTGAAATAATGCCATAACTTGAGCTGTAATCTGAAATTTCAAAGAAACTACATTGTAGCAATATTTTGAAAAGCAAAGCAAAGAGGAACAGAAAATAGTCACTCACTGTAATGGTGATGAAGTTCAGAATCCAGTTTCAGTTTGATATCATGAAATCATTATAACTTCTTTTGATAATACTGATACTGTCTCTGAGGTCCTGAGTACTATATCACCGGAGCTTTCAGTTACCAATATCAAACTATTCAGAGTGGGTGCCTACTCTGAGACCAAGAAACGTCCTATTGAAGTGATTCTTGAAAGTGATGACGTTGCTAGAAAAGTTCTGAAGAACTCAAAATTAATAAAATCCAAACCAAATCTCAAAAACATCAGTCTCTCGGCCGATCGGACCAAGAAGCAAACTGAATACTATAAAAAAGTCAAGCAAGAACTATTGGACAGGATCAACTATGGTGATAACAACTGCAAGATAAAGTACTTCAATGATATACCTAGGGTGGTTTCGTTAAATGGACTGAGCCCAACAGTTTCAAAAATTACACAATATCCGCTTATTACCAAAATGTCAGGGGACTAAATAGCAAGATAGACATTTTTTATCCTAACGTAAGTGATTGTGAACATAATATTGTTGCACTTAGTGATACCTGGTTGAAATATGACGTTAAATCTAGTGAACTCTTTCCTGATAACTATGAAATCTATCGTAGGGATTGCAAATTCAACCACGTAGAATCGACATGTGGAGGAGGAGTATTACTTGCTACCTATAATAATAATATCAATTCTGAAATTGTTGACACCTCCAAATTTGAAAAAAACTTTCCTAGTATTGACTTCTTGGCTTGTAAGTGCACTATATCATCTGTTCTTTTCTGGTAGTCATTGTTTATATTCCTCCATCATTAACAATAGATAAAGTTGATAATTTTATTGAAGTTGTAGAAGGATGGGGTGAAATGAATTCTGACAGAGTCTTATTTTTGGGAGATTTCAATTGTACACACTCTATTGTTGGTAATATGGAAGATAGAAAAACTCTCACAATCACAAATATGTTATCATTCTTTAATATGAAACAATGTAACCGCATTTTGAGTGAGTGTGACAGACTCTTAGATTTGGTAATGAGTAATATTGACTGTGCTGTTTACCGAGAATTTATTGTGTTAGTGAATGAAGACCTGCACCACCCATCCATTTCAATTGAACTTCGTGGTCTCACTACAAAACCTTATAAATTCAGTACAAATATGAATAACAGATCATTCAACTTCAGAAAAGCTGATTATGTGTCACTATATAATGAATTTTTGAACACTAGAACTTTTTAGAAGACTCATCTGATAACAGATGTTGGTGTGGAACCAATAACAGAGTTAGAAATATTAGAAGCTGGAAGAAAATTAAAAAATAAGATGACCTCAGGTCCAGACAAAATTCCATCATTTCTATTGAAAGACTGTCTGAGAGTACTAGTTTATCCCCTAGAAGTTCTTTTTAATCTGATCTTGAGAACGTCAGTTTTTCCTAAACTTTGGAAAACTGCCAAGGTTTGTCCAATACATAAAGCTCAAGATCGAAATGAAATCCATAATTATAGACCTATTTCAATCCTAAACAACTTTGCCAAGCTTCTAGAAGCAATTCTGTATAGTCGTATCTATCAATCCTCTCGACATATAATATCTGATCACCAACATGGCTTTGTGAACTCTAGATCCACTATCAGTAATTTACCTGTTTTTGATCAATATTTATGTGAATCGTTAGACCGTAGAGGGCAAGTAGATGTGGTGTACATGGACTTCTCTAAAGCATTCGATAGGGTCACCCATAAGTTACTAATTTGTAAACTTTCTTGCATGGGTTTCAAAAAAATTTATTGTCAACTTTTGGAATCATACCTTAGCAGACGTAATCAATATGTATATTATCGGGGCTTTTCTTTAGATGTGTTTTTAGCAACCAGCGGAGTCCCGCAAGGATCCAATATTGGTCCCTTATTGTTTTTACTATTTATTAATGATCTGTGCAACTCAATAACTTGCAATAAATTAATGTTTGCTGATGATTTGAAACTATATACATCTATAAACAGTTTAGATGATTGTAACATTATGCAAAAGGAGATTGATCTGTTAGAAAATTGGTGTCTCAAGAATCGCCTCCATTTGAATATATCTAATTGTAAAATTGTTACATTCAGGAGAAAACTTAATACACTAGAATTTCCTAACCACATCGACAATATTGTATTGGAAAGCTGAGAATATTAGGGATTTAGGAATCTATTTTGATCATCAACTAACTTTCAACTACCATATTATAAATTCAGCTTACCGTGCATACGGTTTCATAATAAGGAACTGCAAAAATTTTCATAATATGCTAACCTTGACCTCTCTGTATTTCAGTCTGGTGAGGCCAAAACTAGAATATGGGTCCATTATATGGGATCCCATATACCATCAATACACATCAGCAATTGATAAGAGTCCAAAAGAGGTTTTTAAAATTTCTTACTTTTAGAATGACCGGAACTTATCCTCCAAGAAACTGTGATTACCCTGATCTGCTATGGAAATTTGACTTTGTAGCCTTGAAAAAAAAAAGAAATCAGGCATCTGTTTTATTTCTATATAAGCTATTGAATGGCAAATTGGATTGTCCTGTACTATTACCAGAAATTGATATATTTGTTCCAAGAATATCTTCTAGGCACATCAATACTTTTTTATGTAAAAGGGCACAAACTAACTTGATGTTGAAATCACCAATCAATCTGATGTGTCGTAATGCGAACAAGCTCTCTACTAACATCGATATTTTTTGTTGTAGTATTTGTGGAATTGAAAATAAATCTCTTGCGTGCCTATAAGTCATTTATGTTTTTTATATCAAATAGTATTAATGCTTCAAGTATGTTAGTTTTGCTCTGTAAAGGGGAACTGTTGTGCAATAAACGCTATTACTACTACTTCTACTATAATGAATAATATGAAGAGGATTATAGACTCATATCCCGACTTACAGTCAGCCGGTAAAACAGTGACAGTTGTTGCAACTGTGATTATTGTGCCAAAACTGCAGAACCCTTGGTCCCAGAAAAGTAGAAAACTTATTTTCATTTTATCATATACCTTATAATCCCAAACTCTTCACTGTATTCAATGCTTAGAATATTCATTTACTGTTAATTCATACCACCAGCATCAAACAAATCAATAAATTTGGTGAATTCAAAAAAGGGAATTCATAAGATTCTACTGAATATAGAAAGAACCCTGTACTATTGCTGAATATCTCTGACATAATACTGTCTGACAGTACTGGTGATGTTATTTCTGTTTTTGTACCTTTTTGCGATTATTCTTCAGAAATAAAGGTATTTTTTTTATTATTATTTTCATTATCAAATCATTTCAAATCGAAGTTGAAAAATGTATAAAATTGGATTTGAAGTGAAATATCAAAATTGACCTGCTGTATGTTTTGAGATTTATTTAACAATTCATGTTTCTATAAAAAATGCTTATTTTGTAATTTATTTCTACAGCGATTGGAACACCCAGTCAGGACGAACCAGATCCCGAGACTCATTCCCGAACAGTCGATTTACACCCAACCCATTCCCGGTATCGTCATGGGAGGCGTTCTACCATTTGGCTGCATCTTTATCCAACTTTTCTTTATCCTAAATTCGATATGGTCTTCTCAGATGTACTACATGTTTGGATTCCTTTTGCTGGTCTTCATTATCCTCGTTATAACTTGCGCGGAAACAACTGTTTTGCTCTGCTACTTCCATTTGTGCGCAGAAGATTATCATTGGTGGTGGAGGTCGTTCCTCACATCTGGATTCACCGCAGTATATCTCTTCTGGTACTGTTGCCACTACTTTTTCACGAAGTTGCAGATTGAGGATGCTGCATCGGGTTTTCTCTATTTCGGTTATACACTCATCATGGTGTTCCTATTCAATTTGTTGACAGGAACGATAGGCTTCTTTGCCTGTTTCTGGTTCATCAGGAAAATTTATAGCGTAGTCAAAGTGGACTGAGTAGTTTTCGTATGGCGATTTATTTCAGTTATGGTGGTGTGAAAGAAAAAACTCTTTGTTTTCCACCTGTTCGTCCAGGTGATCAATGCATAGAAATATATCATTTAGATGTAAAATTTTGATTGTTTAACTTCAATAATTCAGAGTACTTTTGCTTTCGCTTACTCAGTATTATTGAAAAAATTGAATAATATTTTAATTTCGTCAACAGAATTATGGAAGCCAGTAGTTGTAAATATTTCATTTCAACTCTCCTCGGTCCTACGTTGGATGCCATTTATTCAAGGTCCGAGGTTAATTTAAAATGTTACTCTTTTTTTCTACTTAGTGTGAAATTGGAATTTCTGTTCACATTTTATTGAAATTACATTTTGATGGTATTTCTTCAAGAATTAATTCTTGTTTCAAGTCAGTAGCAACTAACTTTTTGTTAGTTCAGAGATGTGATGTAGAGATATCGCGAAATTTATGTTTTTATTCCTACTGAATGCACAAAACTTATATTTGTATTTGTATTGAAACTTGTGCAGACATATTGTGTGATGATATCCTTTTGTGGAATATGTATAATAGTTGAATAAATTTATTGTAATTATGTTGTGTTTTTTACTTTAGAATGACTGCAACAGGTTCCATACTGTTAGGATGTGTTAAAAGAAATATGTACTATGGAATATACCATGATACAAAGGGGTTTCAAGACCTTGTATTTAATGTGTCCCTTGACAGAAAAGTGAAAGATTAATAACTTGTGTCTGAAACCATAACAAAAACAGTAAAATAAGTATCATTGCGTCTACTCAGATCATATGATTCTTGAACTCAATGATCACTCACTCCATCATATAGGGAGAAGCCATTGGCTAGTGATGATGTGCCTTTCAAACGAATCAGAGCTTCAGGAACAGGGTCCAACTGACACAATCGCTTAAATGAAAAAAATTGTTATAGTGATCAATAAGAAGTTGAGTATGAGTTTTCTTAGGGATAGTTTGGGAACTAATTCTCATCAATATCAATTTTTTATACACAAGTTAGTTAAGGGTGACATCATCAGCTTTGTCGATAAAACTGCTGTTTATACATCTCAAACCATAATGACGAAGCATATTGCAGAAACTGATTTAAAGTTAGTTATACAAAAGTATGTAGATACTTTTTTTGATAAGACTGTATTGTATGTAATGTAAGCTTTCACAGTCGTAGATAACTGCCTCAACGTTTTTTTCAGGTTTTTATATCTGATGTTTCGTCTACATTTGCAGTAGACACACATTTGACAATGTCTTCCCCACTTGTGGATGAAATGTCAAACATAAAAAGTACACAGTAAAATTTTTTTGTTGGATGTCAGACAATTCTATTTCTCAAAAATGGCTATTGAACAAAACACATCAAATTCTTCAAATACTAGCAACCATACATGATGTATTTCATCAGTTCGTACTTCCATTGTCTACTATAATATAAATTGATTTGAAAACCCTGAAAAAAATGAAAAAAAATGCAAAAGGTTAACCGAAAATATTAATTTTATTAAACAAAAAACTGAAATTACAAAGAAATAACATACAAGCAGCAACCAAACAAATCCGGAATAGCAGAGCATGTTGGGACTCGTCAACATAACATCAAGTGTGCTCAAGCTGAAATCATCCAAAAAGAGGAACACTGGTTTAGGAGAAAACTCAAAGAAGCCGCGTATATGTTGTCCAACAACGCATTTAGTCAAGCCAGCGTAGAGATACGTAACATATGGAAACCTCTTATCAAGCGAAAAACGACCAATTTCCGCCAAACGGTCATCTCCCGCTAAAAACCAATGAAGCGGAAAGAGTGAAGAGGGGATAGGTGAAAGCACTCGAATGACCTATAAATAGTCAGATCTCGGGTCCAGTTATCACCCGAAGACAATTGTGGATACTAACAATCGAAACGTCGTGACATAACTTGGTTTGAAATTTTGATTGTCAAGTTGGCGGGAATTCGGTCAAAATGTTGAAGAAAACCAATTTCTAAATTGTCGACGTTTCGAAACTTTATTGTTTCATCTTCAGGACTCTGAAGTATAAGAAAAAGACATACATATTAAAATGGAAGCAGTTCTGTTAGAAACAAAATAAATTATGTAATATAAAAATCGTTAAAAAAAATGATAAACAGTTTCCCATTCCTAGGCCGAAAATCTGTTTATAGAAAACTTCATTGAAATTAAAATAGCTGTTACTCGTTACGAACTGGAATAACTTAATGAATGTTTCTAAAAGGATAGTAGTGTGTGATTCTAGTAAATGCCATTTTTTATTAACGAAACTTATTACTAGATCTATTGGTATGTTGGTGAATAGAGATACTACATCCATTGATATCAAAATGAAGTCGTCTGGTACGATAACATCTTTTATTTGATCGACAAAGTCAAATGAATTTTTCACGTAATGCTCATCTTTTATAAATGCATGTTTGGGGAGACCATCTAAAAATTTACTTAAATTATCACCAATTTGCACTGATATTGTTATGTCTGACTTACAAAATAAATGTCTACGTCAATGTGATTTTCCGATATTTTTTTTCGAAAGATATGTTAATATAGTTTTGTGCATAGAAGAAGAAAACCTAGATAGAATGTTAACAACATTCAATAAGTTATCATCCCAAACTTCAGTTCACCGTTGAAGAAGAAAAAAATAATAGAATTGCTTTTCTGGATGTTTTGCTGATACAATCTAACAACAAAATTATAACTGATTGGTACCATAAACCAACATACTCTGAAAGATTTATAAATTATCACTCTATCCACCCAATGACACAAAAAATAAACATCATCAACAATCTCAAATACAGGGCTACACATTAAGCACATGCACATGCTACGCTTGTTACAATATTGTATCCAATAAACTGAAAACGTCCATTTTGATAAAATTCGGATTTTTTTATCTCTCTTCAACTCATGGATACAAATTACACACTAAAAAAAATATTGCCATTGAAATGTTCGATCAAATAAAAAATTGATAGTAAATGGAAACTTGCAATTAGAGCTTTCTGAAATATTGATAAAAACATCATTATTATGTTTGTGTAAGTATTGTTAGTAATTCATGCCGGTTTCCAGGCCGCGGGGTTCGGATAACCACGTGAAGGGGGCTATGTATGTGAATTTAAAAACCCGAAATGTCTCCAGAAGAAGAGGCGACTCAAAAAATATATGTGGAAGAAATCAAAAGGTCTCCCGAAGAAAGAAATGTCATCTTCAATGGACCAGAGATTCCGTGGGCTAACGAAGCAAGATACCCGGGTGTCACTCTCGACAGGAGACTGACATTCAGGTCCCACATACGGCAGAGACTAGGGCTGGCGAGAGCCGCCCGACAAACTATACCCAATCAAATAGGCCGCAGGAGTAACATGGGTCTCCATGTGAAACTGCTTGTTATCAAGACCGTACTACTTTCCATCATTCTGTATGCCTCCACTGCCTGGGACCAGTGAGCAGCGACATACAGACGCAGTATCCAGACGTTCATGAACGCTTGACTACGAGCTGCCGTGAACGTCCCAAGATACATACCAAACAGATACATCTACATCTACCGGGACCTGTACCTCCACATCCACTACGTAGACGCTTACATGAGGAGCACGCCGAAAACCTATTCAAAAGAATACGAACACACGCTAGTCCCGCGCTACGTGACTTACATGAAGCGCTCAACAGGGACGACCCCTGATTTCGCTACGAAGCAGAACCGACGACCACCTCTGACAGTCGCTGTCAGGCGGCTCCGGTAACTATTAAAATTTAGAGGTTTCCATATGTTACGTATCTTTACGCTAGCTCGACTAAATACGTTGTTGGACAACATATACTACTAGGGTGCTGTGTACGAAATTGCTACTTCCAACTGAAGGATGAATTCTTTACGCAAGATGAGGGACTGCCAATGGGATCGCCACTTTCACTTGTTATAGCTAATTTTTATATATGGAGTGGTTAGAAACTTTGGCCATTGAAGAAGCCCCGAGTCTGGTTGAGATACTTAGACGACACCTTCATAATATGGAACCATGGGAATGCAGAACTAGTAGTTACAAAAATCGGTATTTTGTGTCACACAAACAAAGCATATTGCATTGAACAATTAGATTTTTGATTTACTCGTATTATACTGTCATACTTCATGCATTAATTGATTAAAGCGGCAAAATTCCATAATTAGGTAGGTATATTGGATCTATTTTGAATTTCAAAACATTTGTGTTCGTTTAAACGAATCAGTCGACTTAATCACAGATCCTTAATATCATTCAATTGGAGTGATCAGTGGCGTAGCTAGGTAACCTAGGGCCCTGGGGCAAATAAAAAAAATGGGGCCCCACTGCTATCAAAACTGGTAAAATCATTAAATATACAAATACTCTAAAAATGCTAAGCTACTTTATCATCAGCTCTTTTTCATGCATTGCAGGGTAGGTAATAAAAATATATTGAACACTAACAACATAAATTACAATTATTTTAATAATTGGGGTAGGTATTGGCCAATAAAACGAAATAGAAAAGATTCAGGGGTTTATTATTATTATTATATAAAGATCGGACCTATCAACTGACTAAATAGCTATTATAATCACAATCTTTTCCAAGCTTTAGTTTTTGCAAAAGTATCAATAACTTCTGTTAAATTCAGACTTGATGTGGTTTTTTTCTCAATTGCTATGTAGGAGTCGAGTTTGGCCCATACTATTTCTTAAATATTTTTTTATTATTTTTAACTTGCTGAATGACTTTTCCACTGCTGCAGAAGTGACAGGAATTGAAGAGAATAATAACATTGCTGAAAATACTTCCGTTAGATCGCATTCCAGCACTCCATATTTACTCATCATTTCCTTACATAATGGTGAACAGTCCATGCTTGAGTTAATTGAGGTATAAGTAGGCGGTAAATATTAACAAATTGAAGTGAAAAGCTAGGGCCTATTATATCTGAATATTTTCTTTGGAATTCGTGACACTTTTGTAATAAAGTTGCTTCATCAACATGTAATAAAAATGTGGGTGTTAGAAAATCGAATGTTTGACAGACTGCACTCATACTAGTAAATCGTGTATTTAATCGAGCTATTAATGTATCAAGTAACTGAGTTGCCATGATTAAAGTCGTGTTGCCACCTGTCATATTCATTTTGAAAATGGGAGAAATTTTCAAATGTTGAGTTCGATTGAGATTTTCTGGTAAGGTCGAGGGCCCCCTGAGCTTGAGGGCCCCGGGGCACTGCCCCGCCTAGCCCCTTAGTAGCTACGCTACTGAGAGTGATTAAACCTTGGTTTACATATGAACTTCAAAACATATTTGATGTCACAATCGTTTCAACTCTGATAAGAATAACATTAGAGCGGGAGACAACATTATCTGAAGGCGATAATGAAGTTTTCGCTCGAATTTTGAGCGAACAGTTTGTTTTATTTATCCATTATGGCCTCCTATATACAGTTTTATTCTTTATTACAGCAGTAAGTTTGAGTTTTGATTACCTGTTTTAAATTCAAAAGGTGTGGAATGCATGACCTTAACTCAGCTTAAATAGGAAAATTATGTTCTTGCAGTCGTGTTCAACCATTGGTATATAATCTCAACACAGTCAGATGGAAGAGTACCCTAAGAAGAATAGAAAAGCTTTTGATTGCCAACAGAGGGGAAATAGCATGTAGAGTAATAAGGACTGCTCGCCGATTAGGTGTAAGAACTGTTGCAGTGTACAGTGATCCTGACGAAAAATCGTTACATGTTGATTTGGTGAGCTTTACCTGCTGTTATTTATTTCTGACTTCTCCATTAATAATAATTTTCATTCGTTCTTCTGATACCCAGGGCCGGATTTAGGAAAGAGCAGGCGGGGCTGCCTTGGAGCCTTCACAGGTGAGGGGCCCCCATAATAAATATAAAAAATATACAAAATTTGACGGATCAGTAACTTTTATGTTTTTCCGCTCAAATTTTATTTTGATTTTTATCTAATAATATAGTATTTCCAATACCAATTGGAACAGCACAGAGAAGGAATTCCCGCCTCGACATAAGCGTCGGTATATTATTTTTCAGTGGTAGTTTTTCAGTTACTTATTCTTACAATCATAGCAATTAATCACCCCATGAAAAAGTTATCTCAACTGAATTTTTCCACCATGGGTAAT